TGTATGAGCATGAATGGAAAAGAGTAAGCTCATGTTATGTATGCCAAAGAAATAAAAAGAATTAAAGTAAAGAGATGTTAAGGGATAAAATATAGGTCCTGGAGCAGTGAGTTTGTAGCTCCAGTTTGACCTATCAAACGAATGATTTAAGTCACAATATTTGGCAGACTTATAGTACACATCCCAAGCTTTAAAATGAGAGGTAAATCACCTCAATTAGATGTGTACACAAGAAAATACGAATTTCTAAAATTGAGGCACAGAATCTGGAAGTTCCAGATTTTACCAAATGAACAGTAATATTTATTGATTAGACTATACGAATTGGGCAAGGATAAGTCTAATTGGATATTTTTTCCTTAAAGAGCATCAAAATAGCTTTCTGTATAATTTTAGAACACCTCAATACGATTTATATGAAATTAGTTATGAATTTTTGAAGTTAGACCTGTAATTTGGAAATTAAACAGTAAATAGTAACCTGAGTAATTATGTTGAAATTTTAAATCCGCGGGCTTGTGGCATAATCTGCTTGAACCATAACGCTTATGAATGTGTACTTTGAGGAGTTAAAGGTAGGGCGTTTCAAGGTGGGCCAGTAAAATCTTGCATCTAAAACATTCCGAGCTGTTTTTCCAGCACTAAAGTGCCCCCACATAAGGTATCATGACAAGCTTCCAGAATAGCTCGAGCCTCTACTTCCAGAATGCATCATCTAATCACTTGGTCAGAACATAATCTCCATAAGTGCGGTGGATCCCAAATATAATTGCTTTGCTCCTAAGCTTTTGAGCCTGACAGGTGGTCAAGTGAGAAGGGATTAGACTAGTCGTAATATAGTTAACTAAGTGAGCAAATCATGGTTGAGAAACAGACACTGCACATAGAGATTGGTCAGGGAATGAATCATAGATAATATCAGAATTGAGTACTCCCTTGGTTTCTAAAGGTAGCTTGCTCAGATGGTCTGCCACATGGTTAACATTTCCAGCTCTATCTTTTACTTCCACATCAAATTCTTGAAGCAATAACATCCACCTCAAAAGGTATTTCACTGCTACGTGATCTGTAAACATAGTTACTTTGAAATTTATTAGGTATGGTCTAAACTTATCAAGTGCAAAAACAATTGCAAACAATTCCTTCTCAGTAGTAGTATAGTTTTTCTGAGCTGCATCTACAATTTTAGAGGCATAAGCAATCACTTTAGAAATAGAATTCTCCCTTTGACCCAACATTGCCCCTACATTCAAGTTTGAAGTATTACAAGAAATTTCGAAAGGCATTAATCATGGACAGATTTTCTTATTATTGTTATGAGTAGGAAAATCAAATGTAGAAGAGTTTTAATGTCATAAATGGATTTTCAATGCATTAAGGGATTTAAAAGTGGTCCATTAAAATCCTAAACGGAAAAATCTTTTAATGCATTGAAACATTTGAATTGCTAAATGAAAATCTTCTATAATTGTCTAATGCTTTGAAAGGTTTGAAATCTGGGTGCTTTAAACATTTTTTAATGTATTAAATGATGGCTATGAATTTCAAAACGGAGTAACGCCTTGAAAGGTTTGAAGTTCTGGTGCGTTCAGACTTTTTTAATATATTAAATAATGATTATGAAATACAAAACGGAATGCTTTACTTCTTTGCCTCTAACTATCCATGCAATTAAATCATTTAATGTTCAACATTCAAAACTGAAATTTTATTATCATTAAGAGGCAAGCAATGTTCAGATCGTAGTTGCCTATAAAAGAGTGTTTTAGTCTAAGGTTCAGAACACACAGCTCTAGAGTTTTCGAGCACTTATTTTCCTCCTTGTGTGTTCTCTTGCCTGCTGAGTTTACTACTATCTTCTGCTATTCTGCTCACCCTGTTTTACAGGAAGGATGCGTTTAATCCTAGGGAGTGCCACATCCTCATTTGCAGGTGGTTGCTGAATAGCTCTTAAGGACAGCGTCCTTAGGACGTGACTCGGATTAACTATTTATTTTGCAGGTGTTGCCGCCAACATTATTTTCACACTCTCTCTTTGTTTTGTTTTAAAAAGTTGGTTAAAATTAGCTAAAAACAATAACAAAATGTAGAAAAATGTAACTTAGTTGTCAAAAGTCCTTCCTTATGAAGAGTGTGAGTAGAAGAGAGAGAGGAAAAAACAAAAGAAATAAAAGAAAACAAGTAAAAAGAATAAGAAGCGTATAATTAATTAGAGGTAAACATAAAATAAAAATTAAATGATAAGACAAATTCAATTCTTTTCCCCAACTAGACAAATGTGGTGCCTTTTTCTCCTTGTAGGGATCAAATTGGGTTGAATGAAATCTTCAGCACGAAGCTGTAAGGAGCTATACCTAGAGAAGTCAATGGAGCTTTCTCTTTGGATACATATATATGTCAGGATATATGGATCTTTTATTGTGAAAAATTATTTGACCCAGCGAGTAGAATCCATAATGTTAACATATATAATTGACTGCCTGTTCCGGGCATGCGCAGAAAACGATTTGGCATACAGATGTGAATTCTGCAATTACCAAAGGAAGAGAGCCTATATAAGAAGGGGAATCCATCTTGACGCAGTTATTTTACAGCTGTAGAATGATCAGGATGGCTGGATTACTACAATCAGGCCAGGGAGAGAGGATATGTCGCTATCAGTAATAGCTGAAACTAGAAATTTCTTCCCCCAGATTTCATTAGATTTAAAATTTTAATAAATTACATTAATTAATGTGGCTTAAGATTCAAGTCCTATAAGAGTATGATTTTTTTTATTTATTCAAATAGGATTTAAATTAGAGATGCAGAATTTAGAAAAATAAGATAAAAAATTTGGAATCAATTATTTATTTCTCCATTTAAGTCTTCGATTAACATATAATTTAATTATGATGCTTCCAATTTATTTAATTTAATATATTCAAATCCTAATTAAGATATTTAAATTAAAAATTAATTATTAATTTCTTCATTTGAGCCTCCAATTGAAATCCCATTTAATTCAATATATTCAAATTTCAATTAAGATGTTATTCAAATATCATTAATTGAATATATTTAGATCTTATAATTGTTGGAAATTGTGCCCTAGGGGCCAATCATTCTGTTTTGAACATTGTTAATTTATGAATTTATTAATTAAGTTATCATATTATTTGCATGTTTACTGTGATGACTATCCTTGGATAACTCATGGTTTATCCTAAATGTCCCTGGTCGGTCATCTATGTGGGAGCAAAGATGAAATAAGACCAGTATGACTTTAAAGATATATAGAGATATAAATTAAAGTCATAGGCACATGTAAGAGTACAAGGTGTTGGACCGACCCGCTATGAGAGAGCTGCATGGGTTAAGTCATAAGCTTCTCTCATATACAAACCACGTCACTATGCCCTTTGACCTGAGATCATCATGGATTCCTACATGAGAAACGCTTAGCTTTGACCTAGTCAAAAGTCACTTTTGACCGAGTGATCATAAAGACTATGTTCAGGCTTAGTGGTTTTTCATGCGGAGGAATGTGAATAGTCAAGATGGAATTTGTCCCTCACATTCGTAGAGAGACATTACTGGGCCCCTCGATGAGTGAGTCTGAGAAATGTATGGCCATACTATAATGGAAAGGTAGTTCCGTTTCTATACTCAGACTACTTAGGGATCGAGAAAGTAACGGTCATGAATAGGAGGATGACGTTCTCCATGCCTCATCCATGACCAAAATGTCGTGTGACAAAAGGGACGTAATATGATTGTATGAAAGGTTGCATCGTTCAATGATCCTCATATGTTTTGGGTAGTCGTGATGTCTTGCTAGAGACCGCTTACGACTTGTGAGTCATTATAGTTAATGGCCCACTCTTAAACCCTAGCTCCTCATATCAAATATATAGCATCCTATATATTTGATATGAGGAGCTAGGGTTTAAGAGTGAGAGAATTGACAGATAAGAGACGGCCTAAGAGAGGAGAGAGGACGGATTTCGAAAACCCTAGACGGATATAGGCGCTAGCACGCCGTTCGAGGTTGAGGGCTACTCGTGTGGATACCGGTAGAGGAAGCCGACCGGAGTTGTCGACTTCGAACGACAAAGGAGGCGAGCAGAAGCATCCTGAACGGCCGAATCATCGAGTCACCAGGAAATCGAACGCCTGAAGGTAATGCTTCTTACTACCTGACTTAAACGCGATCGGTAGATCCGGGAAAGGGATTGAAAGTTTTAAAATTTTATGTCGTTTTCCGCTGCGCGTCGTCTTTCAATTCCCTTTAATAATATCATACCCGACCCATTTTAAATGAATTTCAAGAATATAGTTGATAGTTGATAGCTGATAGCTGATAATAGTGGATTGGTTGATTGATTGATTTTTGGTTTTCCCTAATTATATTGAGATTATCAGTGTGATCGCGAGGGGTTGTGATATTCACCATTCTTTTAGGAATTTGATTGATGACATTAGATTAGTTATTCATAGAAACTGACAGGTTAGTTTTTCACATACTAATAAGGAATATGTTAGCACAGCTAACTACTTAATTAGTTCTTTTGTATTTTTGATCACCCTCTATCAAGATGTCCTGAGATGGATTTTAATGAAGAATTCTGATTCTTCTAGTTTGGTTTGAGTTTACCTAATACAGTTTTTAATTAAAAAGAGAAACTTATGTTTTAAACTAGAGCGAATATTTTATATAGGGCATTACATTACTGTCTCCGATTTCATTTAAAAAAAATTCTTATATACAAAAGCTGAGGATATGAGGGAATATTAATTTTTTTAAAAAACCATACGTCAGAAAAATACAGGAGGTGCCGGTATTGTGTGATGGGTGAGCTTAGTCGTTACACGTAATAATTATGATTATGATATGATTCTTTTTTTTTTGTCCACCAATTATGATATGATTCTTGGCCATGTAATTATGGTCACAATTATGACACAAATAAATGGACCGAACCGGATTCGACATGGAGCATTCCCGGTCTAGGTTCATCCATAAATGGCTCGTGCTCTTCTGGCGTTGCCCGTTCGTGCTCTTCTTTGTGCGCCTCGTCTTTCCGTTTCTACTTCACTCCATTAGCATCGTTCTCTCGCTCAAATGGCTCTCGAAGTCGCTGTGAAGGCCGCCGTTGGTGCCCCTGATATTCTCGGAGACTGTATTCCCTTCCTCCTCCTCGATCTCTGTCCTTTTTTCTTTTACCTTCGACCATGTTTTCGGGTTTTAGCCATTTGTTTGTTTATGTCGCGTTCGATTTGTTTTCAGGTCCGTTCTCTCAAAGGGTGCTGTTAACTTTGGAGGAGAAGCATATTCCCTACAAGACTCACCTTATCAATATCAGTGATAAACCCAACTGGTTGGTATTCTCGGAAGAGGGTTATTATTCTGAAGATCACCCATGTTTCTGGGTGATATCTGACGTGGGTTTGTTTGATCTGGTGTTGTTGGTAGGTTTTTGGACGTGAATCCTGAAGGGAAGGTGCCGGTTCTTAAGATTGATGACAAATGGGTGTCTGATTCTGACGTTATTGTGGGGATTCTCGAGGGAAAATATCCAGAACCTTCGCTTGCCACTCCTTCTGAATTCGCCTCTGTGTATGCTTGCTTTTTTGTCTTAAATTTTTTCCTTTCATTTGTTCACTTTGGTTTATAAAGTTCTCAATAGTTTATTTAAAGTGTTAAAGACTGCGGCATAGTCGGGCTTCCTAACAAAAATTATATGATAGGTGGATCTGAAACTGGAAGCTACGGTTTTCTACTTTTGCAGATATTGACTTTTTGTAACATTTTTCTCACATAAATATAGTGACAGTTAAATAGTAAACATTATCGTACTGTTCAGATTTAATTATTATAGAATCGACACAAACAAATTATTTTCATTCCAAATATTGATGAAAACATAAATTGTGCTGATACCCGCCTGGTGGTTATGGGTGCCAGAACAGGCGTATGGGATGCCTGCGAGCGTATAATGTGGGTTTTTCTTTTTCTTTTCGTGTTAATGTTTAGGAGCATCTACGAATAGGCTGAACACCCTATAGTGGGTTGTTTCTACAAAATATTACTTCTTGCTAAAGAATTTTGTTTTGTGCTCCATTCATGTTGATCATAAAGATTTTCCATCTCATCGTCGATTTATGCTGTGGATGGGAGAGATGGATTGGTTATCTTCCACTTTTTATTAAGATATAATTTGATGAAGAGAGTTGTTCTTACTTCTTACTACAGAATTTGATCTTATGTAATGCTGTCGTTTGCAGGGGATCAAAGATATTTGGATCTTTTGTGAGTTTCCTCAAGAGCAAGGATCCAAATGATGGAACAGAGCAGGCATTACTTAATGAATTGAAGGCTTTGAATGACCATCTGCAGGCACATGTATGCATGCGGATTCGTCGTGAAAAACTTCCTCTACATTCTTTGTTGTGTATTTTCAATCTCTACTAATGTGATGGAGAATTTATAGGGCCCATATGTTGCTGGGGATAAGGTCACTGCTGTTGATTTGAGTTTGGCACCAAAACTTTACCATCTTACTGTTGCACTTCGCCACTTTAAGAACTGGACTATCCCTGAAAATTTGACCCATGTCCATAACTACACAAAGGTACCAATTTGATTTTCTTCAGTGCTCTGCATGCCTTGTTATGGGATTATTCATTTATTTCTTCTTCCTTGTAGTTACCTTGATAGGACGTACTTAGTTAGGAGCTTCTAGCGGAATTTTCTGCTCTGGAAAAGCGTTCTGCTTACTCTTCGCATCATAATGGATAGATTTTCTCTTGATTCAAACCTCAAATGATTTTTTCTCTACATTGTAATGGTTTACATTATTTTTTTTATACTTGCTGATAGTGAGTATACTTGCTTTATTTGTCCTCTTCAATTAGAATATTTGTCAAAGTACATCGTAAGACTATTTACATGGAATGTGAACCTCGAGAAAAGATTATTTGATTCGTGATTCTGTTTTATGGTAAAAATCTTCGAATAAAATGTGTGCTGATGGATATTTGGAGAAAAAGATGGCTAACAGGTTCATAACAAAGCTGAAAGTGTGGGTCTTCTGGTTAGGCAACAAAGAAAATATCAGAAAACTACTTTATCTGTCATTATTCAAACACGCCTGATTAAACTGAAGTATTTATTTGAGTAGATTTTTTCCCCCTTGTTCTTGCTGGTTTGAATAGAGAAGATATATAAGAAATGCATGGCTGATTCAAACTCGATCCTTTTTGAATATGGAGAGTGATAAAAGATTGTAATGATTGAAGTGTTCACACCTCATCTTTATACCCGTCATTTTTTCTCTTTCTAAATGTATTGTATGCATTTGCATTCGGATTGTGGCTGATGAATGATTGTGTCATGTTATGATCTGATTTTGCAGTTGTTGTTTGCCCGGGAATCATTTCAGAAAACCAAGGCTGCCGAGCAATATGTCATTGCAGGATGGGCACCGAAGGTCAATGCATGAATCAGCACTAAAATATGAGGCTTAATAATATCAGATATGTGAAGTGTTTGTGCGTGTGGCAGAACTCTTTTTAAGAAATAGGAGGGATAGCTCTTGTGTGTTATGTGTTATGCTTTAGTGGATTGTTGCTCCTATCTATTATTAATAATAATATATATATATGTGTGTGTGTGTGTGTGGCTTGTTCTCTGTTTATTTGTGATGTCACTGTTCGTAGATTGTCATCCATTTACATCTGTCCAGAGTTACAAAATATTTAAAGGAAAACATGAGGAAATGTAAGGTATTAAAAAGTGGACAAATCATTGAACCAGTTGAGCCGATTGGTAGTGATTTAAAGGGTAGTGTTTCAAAACGGGGTTGAACTGGGGTTATCGTTAAAGTAAATTCTTCAAATTCTAAAGGTAAGACGTATTTTATAGTAATATGTAGTGTAATTTATATTACAAAATGAGTTTTATGTTTAAGATTGGAGGAATATTATTATCTTATTAAAATGTATACAAATATTTATGTCTACCTACAAAAATATTTAAATAATGGTAAATTATGATATCAAGTAAATGGAATGTACTATATCTGTTGCCCTTCGTTCTTGAGTGCAATATGCGGAAAATTGCAACTTAATACTTTAAAAAAAAGTAAAATGGGCAAACGTGAATGCCTTTTCAAATTTCACTCTTCACATCCTACTCTCTTCTCAAAGGGGGTAGTGTGTGCTATACTGCTAGCGCTCTTCAACTTCAAGACTTCACATTCTCTCTGGGTCTTCTCATTTTTCAAGTCTTCTCCACCCCACATGAACATTCAAAGCTGTCTTTTCTTTTTTTCCGGACCTGGAAACACTCAAAGCTGTTTGAAATGTTGACGTTGTGCGTGGGTCAAACCTTGGAAGCACTAGAAGATATTTGTTGCTAAAAGTTTATGCTTCTTATTACTAGTTGAGCTTTCTTTCTAAAATGGCCAATTTTTTTCCTCAACTCGGGTGACTGCTCAACTCTGTGTCATCCAAATTTGTCCAGGATCACACCGAGTCATAATAGATTAGTTTTGTGCCAATTTATAGTCTCCGGCAGATCAGCTAAGTGGTTAGGTTGTCAGTTTTTAGGCTAAGCCGGCTTGTTCAGTCTAAGTTTATGAACATCGAGTAAAGATTAAATTGATGTAGAAGAGTTTAAAGGCATGTGAGCTGTGCATAGTTGATGTCTTAGCTCTTTCATCTTTTAAGAAGAAAGTGGCACTTTACGTCTAACTTCTTCTTGTGTGTTAATCTTAAACTTTAAGAATAAACAAGTTTCCATCAAAAGCAAGCAAAAGCGCACACAGTTTGATCGACTACACTTCAATTTTTGATTTTTATCATTTTCAATCCTAATTGGTGGTTTATCATCCTGATTTATTTATTATTTTCAAATTAGTAACAAAACAGTGCTTTTAATTTCTACATAGGTATCTTGAATTATGAAAGGAAATTAAAATTAAAATGATTAGAATTTAGCATTACATACTCAGGGGTCTTGTTTATCAAATGAGCAACATTTGATTTGACCATGATCTCTTACAAAGCACATGTCTAACATTGGGTAAACTAGAGGCAGGGGGAGGATGATTAATAAAGAAGGGAAGGCAAGAACCACCTAAACCTATTGAACCTGCCTAGTTTGAATTGGTTGAACCTTTTCCCCATCTTTTCCATGTCCGATTAGTTTTCAATTGTCTCATGATACTTATTCAATTAGACATATGGTGATTGGTTTTTAAATTGAATTTGCTTATCTAATATTGGTTATACTGACTCCATACCTAAATAGAGTTATACAGAAGGTTTGATTCTTAATATAAAAATCAAATCAACTTTATCTTTCAAATTTATAATTTTTGTTTAAAAAGTATTCTTATTGATTGCATGTAGTAAGAAGGTGTTCATCAAGGGGCAGCCATAATGCCCATAATTAGAAATGACATTTTAGAGAAACTAACAAATATTTGTTACAAATAACTAATATAACTAATTTTCTTAATATTTGCAAATTAACTATCTAGTTTTATTAAACACCAGCAGTAGTATAACATTAGTCATGTTGAGATTATTGGAATACATGTATGAGTGACAGTTAAGTCTTTAGTTTATATAAACGGTGGAGGTTTATTCAGTAAATGCATGTTTAGTTTCACGCCATGCCCTTAGTTTTTATGCACAGACCATCGCTTAAACCATTTTTCCAGTTTGTGTCATCGACATCATTATACAATGCAATTCTTCATCTACATCTTTCTTCACTTTCTTATATCATTTTCTTTCCTCAAATGTCAAGCAGTTTAAAACTAGTTTACGTGACTTCATAAGTTTATATAAATTTTGCATGAAAATTCTCTATTTATGAAAAAGGAAATATTACCTTTGGTCCTTAGTACAGGAGTTAGCTGGAGGTTAGATTTGGTTTTAAATAAAAGACTCCAATCATTTTTGTCTTCTGTTTTTCCCAAAATATTCCTATTGATTGTGAGATTTCTCATTAAAAGGTATCAATGCACTTGATTAAAGAGAATGATATGTGAATCAGCTTAACAAATTTTTTTAACATCATCAAATTAGTTATCTAGTTCTAATATTAAAACCAGAAGGAGACAGTATGACTTTATAAAAGCCACTTTCTCATTTACCCAACCCAATCCAACACAAATACAAGTATGTTTCCCTTTATATTTGTCTATTTTAAAGGTTTAACTCGGGCAAATCAAGATTATTTTAAACCTCATTTCAAGGATTAAATTAGGTAGATTTAAAGGACCTTTGCTGCATCTTGCCTTGCAACTAAAAGAGGGTTCCATATGTGATATGTCTGTCACATAGCAGTTATATACAACCTAAGATTAAAGGTTTAAAACATTGAACTTAAATATGATGTTTGTCTTTTCTTTGTTTTGGTAGGACAGTAAGGTAGAATGACACATAATAACCCTAGATCTTAAATCACACAAATCGTTGAGAGAAAACAAGGATGCCAAGACGCTCTTCTGACTAGTGGTGGTGTCATGAACATAGAAGAGTTTGGCCGAGAAGGGGACTCCATGAGAAGCCCAAAGCAGAATCGCGTGAGAAGGAGCAAGATATCAGTGTGCAAGGGAATTGGATGATGACAACACAATATAAGGACAAAGTTTGTTAAAAAAGGGTGTGGAAGATGTGAATATTCTCTCTGGACTCTCCCTCTGAGTTTTCCTTTCCTCGTCCTGGACTTCTTTCTTTTATGCTTTGTCAGACACTTCTATTATCGTTTTCATCAAATTTATGACCGAGCATGGTCATTTTCTGAGTATTTTTAGCTGTAATCACTGTGTATTTGAGCATATCATACACACACAGACATCTCCATATTTCAGTCCATTCGATTATTGCATTTTGGTAATGTGGTTGGTTAATATAAGATCATAACTTTTGGTGCTTTCATTGAGAGCCTCATGTTCACGGAAAGGACTACCCACAGAGGGTTCTGTTCTGTAGGAGGCTGAGTAAGTGTTATTGATTGGAGTTGCCTGGGACGTTGGGTCTTCAGGGGTTTCATTGTTGTGAGTCCCACATTAAGAAGCTTAAAAAATATTTTGAGATTTATAAGTTCAAGAGACTCTTCTTTCTAATATGCTAGTCTTTTGGATTTGGCTTAGAGTCACCATGGTTTCCATACGATGGGGGGAAAGAAAAGAGATAGGTTTCGATTCCCCATATGATAGCTGATACACAACTGATGGTTTTCGGGCGTACCTGAAGTATAAGATAGTCTCAGATAGCCACGCGTAGGTCCAGTTACTGTAGGAACTCGGATCTTGAAGACACAACAAATGCACAGAGAAGAAGAGGTTCAGAGAGTGGGGGGGTCTGGAGGAACCAACTGCTTGTGGAGAAAAACGCATACCCACAAAATGATCCCCCTTGGATCAGTTACGTAACTCCACACGTTTGAAATTAATAAACCGCCTCCTTAGTCCAACCGTTCCCCCCATTTTGCATGTCATATAAAAAGGCTAAAACTACAGTTAGGGACCCATATGTTTTGTAATTTATACCAGGACCCCAAATGATACTGGGCTTGGGTCCAATCCACCAAGGGTGGACTGGCCCATTTTCTTACATCTCCCACTCACACTTGGTGGATTAGATGTCGTGGGTCTAGTCTCTTCACCTTCCCTCAATTTCATACTTAGTGCTTTGCTGTGACCGCGTGGGCATGACGTCTTCGCTTGGGTCTTTGTACTAGAAATCCCTTTTCAAGGATCAGCACAAGTCACCCTCTCCTTTGTGTAGCTTGAATTTTAAAATTATGCCTTAGATGTCCTAGATTTACTTATATACACTTTTTCATGGTAAATCTAATCCCTCTCGAGTCAATAGTTGACTCAGATTACCTTTCTCTTATGTCTAGTATCCACACTTACGACCACAAAATGTCATAAGGGACATGTCATAGACACTAGCATAGGTGTGTATATCACAGTCAATCTTCCTTTCGCCCAAACATCACTTTGAAATGAATCAGTCGCTTTCTTAGCATACTACCTTAGATCGCATCAATCATGACCATAGGACATATGCTAAAGTAGCAGTCACTGAAACATATCTTCATGATATTGTCAAAGTCAAAGGACACCAATAGGAGGATAATTCCTCCCTGGGACTCACACAGCAATGAAGCAGGGATCTTTCACTTGCTTCCCTTTTGCGGTTCTCTCAGCACATGTGGTATGAAACACATGCTACGGTGTTACTCTTTTACTATAAGAGCGTATGTCGATTTAGATTTATTATTAACACCGTACAGACTTAGGTCCAGACACACTCAGTATCTAAACCCAAATTCTTCAACTCTGCTCATTGTTATGACGTCGACGTTGAAGAGCTTGTTGTCTGGCTACAGGTATTATGGAAGTGAGATTCCAAACTTCGATCCAACTTTATCAACGTGGATCTCATCTTGACTTGCTACACTTTAGTCAAGGCGACATAAAGTTTGTGTTTCTTCTTTACCATATCAGCATTCATTGCTGCTTTACTGGTGAACACAAATGTCTCATCTTTGTTCACTCCACCTGAGTGTCAAAGGTGGTTGCCCGTGTGAGAGAGCCAACCTTTTTAACCTGTACGACATACTAGACATTGTATACTTTCAGACAGACACATAAAGTGATAACGAAATATA